GGGGGAGGGGAGGGGGGGAGGGGAGGGGAGGGGTAGGGGAGGGGAGGGGGACGGAGTAAGATGAAGGTGGAGAGCTGGAGGAGGAGGGAAGTAACGGTGGAGTGTTCAGAAGGACTTGATAAAACAGGGAACAACCCAGAGGAGAGCACGCGCCTCCTCCTCTCCCACCCTTCCCTCTCCCACCCTTCCCTCTCACCCTCCCTCCCCTCTCCCACCCTTCCCTCTCCCACCCTTCCCTCCCCTTCCCTCTCACCCCTCCTCCTCTCACCCTTCTCTCTCACCCTCCTCCTCTCACCCTTCTCTCTCACCCTCCTCCTCTCACCCTTCCCTCTCACCCTCCTCCTCTCACCCTTCCCTCTCACCCTCCTCCTCTCACCCTTCCCTCTCACTCCCTCTCTCTCCTCCTCCTCCTCCTCCTCCTTCTCCTACTCTTTGACCTGACCTTCTTCTTTGCCCTTTTACTTTTCCTTCCCTCCTACCTCTTCCATCCTACCCCCTTTCACCTTACCCCCTCCCTCTTTCCCTTACCTGCTACACACTCTCACCTTTCCCACTTTTCCCTTTTCATTATACAACCCCCCCCTCCCCCCCCCCCCCTGCTCCCCTTCACGCACCCTTCTCTCTCACCCTCTCCCCCCCCCCCACAGTCTCTCTCTCCCTCACTCTCAACCCATGCTCCTCTTTTCTACCCTTCTGTTCAGCCTACGTCTTCCTCTCTATCTTTATCTGCCTTTTTCCCCCTCTCAAAAGGTCGTCTGTGTCTTGGTGGCAAAGTCTTTTCTACCCAAATGTTCTATAATTTCTTAACTTGATTTCGTTTGTCAGCATTTGGCATAGAAGGAGGGAGGGAATTATCAGGGAGAAAGCGCCAAGCCATTACGACTATATAGCACTGGGAAGGGGTCAGGATAAGGATTTGGGATGGGACGGGGGGGCGGGAAGGAATGGTGCCCAACCATTTGTGGACGGTTGGGGATTGAACGCCGACCTGCATGAAGCGAGACCATTGCTCTACCGTCCAGCTCAAGTGGTTGGGCATTAACTAATGGGGAATCTGGCCTTGCTGTACCTGTTACGTTATAATTGAACGTCGAAGCCTTGGTCGAATTTGGCTTTTAAATTGGGGATGGAGGTGGCTTCTAGTACCACTTTCTCCCAATACATTCCACTTGTGACCGGCCGTACAGCGGATTGAGTATTCTTAATTCTTCTTCGACTCATTTTCGTTTCCAGCTTTCACCTCTTGCCTTACTTTCTCTAAATTCACAGAGGCTGTTCTTGATCACCCTGATTATCACCGTCAGTATTTTGTATGCTGTGATCATATTCCATATGCTTCTTTTCTCCTTTATGTGATATTATTTAGGTTTTTTATTCTATCCTCGTAGCTGATCCCTATTAGTTCTGGTTCTAATCCTGTAGTAACCCTCTACACTCTTTTACATTTTTGGTTTGTGCATCGTACGGTGTGGATTCCAGACCTGTGCAGCATACATTAGTCTAGCATAGGTTGTGTAGATTGCTTTAAGGGGATGACTTTGTATGTGTTTATGTGACAATGTTGTGTTTGTCAGGTTCTTGTGTGTTGCCGATATTAGTGTTTCAATTGGTTGTAACGCCAAGTTCATTTTCTATTTGCGATTCTTGTGGTTTCTTTTCTCTTATGGGGGTAGATATCTTTCGGTCTCCCTTCACTCTTTTCCCTCTTCATTACCTTGCACTTGGTGGGATTTAAGTCTTAAAGCAATTCTTTCCTTACTTCTGGAGTTTGCCAAGATCTTCTTGCTATTTCTTGCATTCCTCCTTATTTTTACACTTCTCGTTACTCAGCTAGTTGTACTCACCTGGTTGTGATTGCGGGGGTTGAGCTTCGGCTCTTTGGTCCCGCCTTTCAACTGTCAATCAACTGGTGTACAGATTCCCGAAACTCATAAGCAAACAGTAACATGTACGAACTCACTTTCATGGGTAGGGAGAGTCGATATACATTAAGAACAGCGGTGGATCCAAGACAGAGACTTTGGGGATCCCAATTGTCACATAACTCAAGCTCGAAGCCTGTTCTCTCACTGTGGTTCTCTGTTTTCAGTCATTCTGGGATTACCTCGTACACGAGTCTTTGGTGATGAGCAGTATCAAATACTCCTTGACAATCTAGGAAGGTGCAGTTTACCCAGCTCTCTCTCTATATATATTTTCATATATATTTTTGTTTATCCTGTCATAAAACTCTATCATATTTGTTGGGGATAACTTTCCCCTTCAAAATCCACATGCTGCTTTTTCACTACAAATTATATATTATAGTAGTTTTAAGTAGTTTTCTCCGCTACTTTTCATGGCGTTTTTGGCTAATCTGTAATTGAGCGCCTCCTGTCAATCCCAATTTTTGTTAATATTAGAACTACTTTTTGTTATTAGAACTAAATTATTAAAATATTATTAAAATATTAGAACTAATTTTTGTTAATATTAGGATTAAAGAGGGTTTACCTTTTTTCAGAAATCTAGTATTTTAAAAATCTTGAAATCTTCATATTTCTAGTGTTTTAGGTTAGGTTAGGTGACAAGTATCGGGTGACAAGTACCGGGTGACAAGTATCGGGTGACAAGTATAGGGTGACAAGTATCGGGTGACAAGTATCGGGTGACAAGTATCGGGTGACAAGTATCGGGTGACCAGTATCGGGTGACAAGTATCGGGTGACAAGTATCGGGTGACAAGTATCGGGTGACCAGTATCGGGTGACAAGTATCGGGTGACAAGTACCGGGTGACAAGTATCGGGTGACAAGTACCGGGTGACAAGTACCAGGTGACAAGTACCGAGTGACAAGTACCGGGTGACAAGTATCGGGTGACCAGTACCGGGTGACAAGTATCGGGTGACAAGTACCGGGTGACAAGTACCGGGTGACAAGTACCGGGTGACAAGTATCGGGTGACCAGTACCGGGTGACAAGTATCGGGTGACAAGTACCGGGTGACAAGTACCGGGTGACAAGTACCGGGTGACAAGTACCGGGTGACAAGTATCGGGTGACAAGTACCGGGTGACAAGTACCGGGTGACAAGTACCGGGTGACAAGTATCGGGTGACAAGTACCGGGTGACAAGTACCGGGTGACAAGTACCGGGTGACAAGTATCGGGTGACAAGTACCGGGTGACAAGTATCGGGTGACAAGTATCGGGTGACAAGTATCGGGTGACAAGTACCGGGTGACAAGTATCGGGTGACAAGTATCGGGTGACAAGTATCGGGTGACAAGTACCGGGTGACACGCACCGGGTGACAATAGCTATTGAGTGACAAAATATTCCTCTGTAAAATCCTTCAGCAGCCACGATCATAATATTTTTGAACTTCTTGATTTTGTAAAGACGGTGATGGTGACAGTCCGTGATGGTGACCGTCCGTGATGGTGACAGTCCGTGATGGTGACCGTCCGTGATGGTGACAGTCCGTGATGGTGACCGTCCGTGATGGTGACAGTCCGTGATGGTGACAGTCCGTGATGGTGACAGTCCGTGATGGTGACAGTCCGTGATGGTGACAGTCCGTGATGGTGACAGTCCGTGATGGTGACAGTCCGTGATGGTGTCAGTCAGTGATGGTGACAGTCCGTGATGGTGTCAGTCAGTGATGGTGACAGTCCGTGATGGTGACAGTCCGTGATGGTGTCAGTCAGTGATGGTGACAGTCCGTGATGGTGACAGTCCGTGATGGTGTCAGTCAGTGATGGTGACAGTCCGTGATGGTGACAGTCCGTGATGGTGTCAGTCAGTGATGGTGACAGTCCGTGATGGTGACAGTCCGTGATGGTGTCAGTCCGTGATGGTGACAGTCCGTGATGGTGACAGTCCGTGATGGTGACTGTCCGTGATGGTGACAGTCCGTGATGGTGACCGTCCGTGATGGTGTCAGTCAGTGATGGTGACAGTCCGTGATGGTGACCGTCCGTGATGGTGACCGTCCGTGATGGTGTCAGTCAGTGATGGTGACAGTCCGTGATGGTGAAAATCCGTGATGGTGACAGTCCGTGATGATGAAAGTACATGATGGTGACAGTCTGTGATTGTGACCGTCCGTGATGGTGAACGTCCGTGATGGTGACAGTCCGTGAAGATGACCGTCCGTGATGGTGCCAGTCCGTGATGGTGACCGTCCGTGAAGATGACCTCCGTGATGGTGACAGTCCGTGATTGTGACAGTCCGTGATGGTGACCGTCCGTGATGGTGACCGTCCGTGATGGTGACAGTTCGTGAAGATGACCTCCGTGATGGTGACAGTCCGTGATTGTGACAGTCCGTGATGGTGACTGTCCGTGATGGTGACAGTCTGTGATGGTGACCGTCCGTGATGGTGACAGTTCGTGAAGATGACCTCTGTGATGGTGACAGTCCATGATGGTGACAGTCCGTGATGGTGACTGTCCATGATGGTGACAGTCTGTGATGGTGACTGCCCATGATGGTGACAATCCGTGATGGTGACCGTCCGTGATGGTGACAGTCCGTGATGATGACAGTTATGATGATGACAATCCGTGATGGTGACTGTCCATGACGGTGAAAGGTAATAATTGTGACAGTCTATGATGGTGACAATCCGTCATACTGTCCATCCGTGATGGAGTCCGTCCGTGATGGTGACCGTCCGTGATAGTGTCCGTCCGTGATGGTGACAGTCTGTGATGGTGACCGTCAGTGATGGTGACAGTTCGTGATGGTGATAGTCCATGATGGTGACAGTCCGTGTTTTCGACAGTCCGTGATGGTGACAGTTCGTGATAGAGACCGTCCGTGATGGTGACAGTCCGTGATGGTGACTGTCCGTGATGGTGACCGTCTGTGATGGTGATAGTCCGTGATGGTGAATGTGATGGTTAACATCTGTGATTGGTGACTGTCCGTGATGGTGACCGTCTGTGATGGTGACCGTCTGTGATGGTGACCGTCTGTGATAGTGACCGTGATGGTGACAGTCCGTGATGGTGACCGTCTGTGATGGTGATAGTCCGTGATGGTGAATGTGATGGTTAACATCTGTGATGGTGACTGTCCGTGATGGTGACCGTCCATGATGGTGACAGTCCATGATGGTGACCGTCTGTGATAGTGACCGTGATGGTGACAGTCCGTGATGGTGACCGTCCGTGTTAGTGTCCGTCCGTGATAGTGACAGTCCGTGATGGTGACCTTCCGTGATGGTGACAGTTCGTGATGGTGACAGTCCATGATGGTGACAGTCCGTGATGTCGACAGTCCATGATGGTGAAAGTCCATAATTATGACAGTCCATGATGGTGACCGTCCGTGATTGTGACCGTTCGTGATAGTGTCCGTCCGTGATGATGACCGTCCGTGATGGTGACCGTCCTCGATGGTGACAGTCCGTGATGGTGACCGTCCGTGATGATGACAGTCCGTGATGGTGTCCGTGCGTGATGGTGACAGTCTGTGATGGTGACCGACCGTGATGGTGAGAACCCGGGATATTGTCCGCCAATGATGGTGACAATCCGTGATGGTGACAGTCCGTGATGGTGACCGTATGTGATGGTGACCGACCGTGATGGTGATTGCCTGTGATAGTGTCCGTTCATGATGGTGACCGTCCGTGCTGGTGACAGTCTGTGAAGATGACAGTCCGTGATGGTGACTGTCCGTGATGGTGACAGTCTGTGATTGTGACCGTCCGTGATGGTGACCGTCCGTGATGGTGACCGTCCGTGATGGTGACAGTTCGTGAAGATGACCTCCGTGATGGTGACAGTCCGTGATTGTGACAGTCCGTGATGGTGACTGTCCATGATGGTGACAGTCTGTGACGGTGACCGTCCGTGATGGTGACAGTTCGTTAAGATGATCGACCTCCCTGATGGTGACAGTCCATGATGGTGACAGTCCGTGATGGTGACTGTCCATGATGGTGACAGTCTGTGATGGTGACTGCCCATGATGGTGACTGTCCGTGATGGTGACCGTCCGTGATGGTGACAGTCCGTGATGATGACAGTCTATGATGATGACAATCCGTGATGGTGACTGTCCATGACGGTGAAAGGTAATAATTGTGAGTCTATGATGGTGACAATCCGTCATAGTGTCCGTCCGTGATGGTGTCCGTCCGTGATGGTGACCGTCCGTGATAGTGTCCGTCCGTGATGGTGACAGTCCGTGATGGTGATAGTCCATGATGGTGACAGTCCGTGTTTTCGACAGTCCGTGATGGCGACAGTCCGTGATGGTGACAGTCTGTGATGGTGACTGCTCATGATGGTGACAGTCCGTGATGGTGACCGTCCTTGATGGTGACAGTCCGTGATGATGACAGTCTATGATGATGACAATCCGTGATGGTGACTGTCCATGATGGTGAAAGGTAATAATTGTGACAGTCCGTAATGGTGACTGTCCGTGATTGTGACCGTTCGTGAGTGTCCGACCGTGATGATGACCGTCCGTGATGGTGACCGTCTGTGATGGTGACAGTCCGTGATGGTGACCGTCCGTGATGGTGACAGTCAATTATGGTGACCGTGATGGTGTTCGTTCGTGATAGTGAGAGTCCGTGATGGTGACAGTCCGTGATGGTGACAGTTCGTGATCGTGACAGTCCGTGATGGTGACCGTTCGTGATGGTGGCAGTCCGTGATGGTGACATTCCGTGATGGTGACCGTCAGTGATGGTGACAGTCCATTATGGTGACCGTGATGGTTGCAGTCCGTGATTGTGACAGTCCGTGATGGTGACTGTCCGTGATGGTGAACGTCCGTGATGGTGACCGTTCGTGATGGTGACTGTCCGTGATGGTGAACGTCTGTGATGGTGACAGTCCTTCATGGTGACCGTCCGTGATGGTGACAGTTCGAGATGGTGACCGTCCGTGATGGTGACAGTCCGTGATGGTGACTGTCCGTGATGGTGACCGTCTGTGATGGTGATAGTCTGTGATGGTTAACATCTGTGATGGTTAACATCTGTGATGGTGACTGTCCGTGATGGTGACCGTCTGTGATGGTGACCGTCTGCGATGGTGACCGTCTGTGATAGTGACCGTGATGGTGACAGTCCGTGATGGTGACCGTCTGTGATGGTGATAGTCCGTGATGGTGAATGTGATGGTTAACATCTGTGATGGTGACTGTCCGTGATGGTGACCGTCCATGATGGTGACAGTCCGTGATGGTGACCGTCTGTGATAGTGACCGTGATGGTGACAGTCCGTGATGGTGACCGTCCGTGTTAGTGTCCGTCCGTGATAGTGACAGTCCGTGATGGTGACAGTTCGTGATGGTGACCGTCCGTGTTAGTGTCCGTCCGTGATAGTGACAGTCCATGATGGTGACAGTCCGTGATGTCGACAGTCCATGATGATGAAAGTCCATAATTATGACAGTCCATGATGGTGACCGTCCGTGATTGCGACCGTTCGTGATAGTGTCCGTCCGTGATGATGACCGTCCGTGATGGTGACCGTCCTCGATGGTGACAGTCCGTGATGGTGACCGTCCGTGATGGTGACAGTCCGTGATGGTGACCGTGATGGTGTCCGTTCGTGGTAGTGAGAGTCCGTGATGGTGACAGTTCGTGATGGTGACCGTCCGTGATGGTGACTGTCCGTGATGGTGACCGTCTGTGATGGTGATAGTCCGTGATGGTGAATGTGATGGTTAACGTCTGTGATGGTGACTGTCTGTGATGGTGACCGTCTGTGATGGTGACCGTCAGTGATGGTGACCGTCCGTGATGGTGACAGTCCGTGATGGTGACCGTCTGTGATAGTGACCGTGATGGTGACAGTTCGTGTTGGTGACAGTCCATGATGGAGACAGTTCGTGATGGTGACCGTGTCCGTGATAGTGGCCGTGATGGTGACTATCCGTGATGGTTACAGTCCGTAATGGTGAGTGTCCGTGATGGTGACAGTCCATTATACCTGGTTGGTGGGGTTCTGGGAGTTCTTCTACTCCCCAAGCCCGGCCCGAGTCCAGACTTGACTTTTGAGAGTTTGGTCCACCAGCTGTTGCTTGGAGCGGCCCGCAGGCCCACATATACCTTGCTTGATGGGGTTCTGGGAGTTCTTCTACTCCCCAAGCCCGGCCCGAGGCCAGGCTTGACTTGTGAGAGTTTGGTCCACCAGGCTGTTGCTTGGAGCGGCCCGCAGGCCCACATATCCACCACAGCCCGGTTGGTCCGGCACTTCTTGAAGAAAACAATGTAGTTTCCTCTTGAAGATGTCCACGGTTGTTCCGGCAATATTTCTGATGCTCGCTGGTAGGACGTTGAACAACCGTGGACCTCTGATGTTTATACAGTTTTCTCTGATTGTGCCGATGGCACCTCTTCTCTTCACTGGTTTTATTCTGCATTTTCTTCCATGTCGTTCACTCCAATACGTTGTTATTTTACTGTGCAGATCTGGGACCTGTCGCTCCAGTATTTTCCATGTGTATATTATTTGGTATCTCTCTCGTCTCTTTTCTAGTGAGTACATTTGGAGAGCTTTGAGACGATCCCAATAATTTAGGTGCTTTATCTCGTCTATGCGTGCCGTATATGTTCTCTGTATTCCCTCTATTTCAGCAATCTCTCCTGCTCTGAAGAGGAAAGTGAGTACTGAGCAGTACTCAAGACGGGACAACACAAGTGACTTGAAGAGTATTGTGATGGGATCTCTGGACTTGAAGGTTCTCGTAATCCATCCTATCATTTTTCTGACTGACGGAATACTTGCTTGGTTATGCTCCCTAAACGTTCGGTCGTCGGACATCATTATTCCCAAATCCTTGACATGCTGTTTTCCTACTATGGGCAGATTCGATTCTGTTTTATACCCTGTATTTTGTTTCAGATCCTCATTTTTGTCGTATCTGAATACCTGGAATTTATCACCGTTAAACATCATGTTATTTTCTGCTGCCCAGTCGAAAACTTTGTTAATATCTGTTTGTAGTTTATCAATGTCTTCAGCAGTGGTAATTTTCATGCTGATTTTTGTATCATCTGCAAAGGATAACACGAAGCTGTGACTTGTATTTTTGTCTATATCTGATATGAGAATAAGGAACAACAGTGGTGCAAGGACTGTGCCTTGCGGTGCAGAGCTTTTAACTGCGCTCGGACTTTATTTAACTTGATTGACTGTTACTCCTTGTGTTCTGTTCGACAGGAAATTGAGTATCCAGCGTCCTACTTTACAAGTTATACCCATTGATCTCATTTTGTGTGCAATCACTCCATGGTCACATTTGTCGAATGCCTTTGCAAAATCTGTGTACACGACACTCTGCATTATGTTTTTCATCTAATGCCTCAGTGATTTTGTCATAGTGGTCAAGTAGCTGTGAGAGGCATCATCTTCCTGCACTAAATCCATGTTGGCCTGGGTTGTGGAGGTCATTCGTTTCCATGAATCTAGTGACCTGACTCCTGATCACTGTCTCAAATACTTTTATTATGTGGGACGTTAGTGCAACTGGTCTATAATTCTTTGCCAATGCTTTACTACCTCCCTTGTGTAGAGGGGCTATGTCTGCTGCTTTAAGCGCATCTGGTATCTCCCCCGTGTCCAAGCTCTTCCTCCACACTATACTGAATGCCTGTGCTACTGGCACTTTGCATTTCTTTATAAATATTGAATTCCATGAGTCTGGACCCGGGGCTGAGTGCATTGGCATATTGTCAATTTCTCTTTCAAAATCTGTCACACTCGTGTTGATATCAGTTATAGTTACAGGTGTTTGAGTATCATTCATAAAGAAATTGTCCGAATCTTCCACTTTCATGCTGAGTATCGGAGTGCTAAACATGTCCTCATACTGCTTTTTTAGGATTCACTAATTTCTTTGTCATCCTCAGAGTATGAACCTTCACTAATACGAATAGGTCCAATACTGGCAGTGGTTTTTGCTTTTGATTTAGCATATGTGAAGAAATATTTTGGGTTTTTCTTTATTTCTTGAATTGCTTTCTGTTCTAGTTGCCTTTCTTCAGTCTGATAGGAAGATAGAACATGTTTCAGATTTTTTTTTTTTTTTAGATATATACAAGAGTTGTGACATTCTTGTACAGCCACTAGTACGCGTAGCGTTTCGGGCAGGTCTCTGGAATACGATCCCTGCCGCGAAGAATTGTTTTTACAACCAAGTACACATTTTACTGTTGAGTTAAACAGAGGCGAGTGTCTTACCACTACACCACAGATATGCTTCAGAAGTCAGTTTTTCTATTCCTTGTTTAGGATTTTTATTTCTTAGAACATTTTCCCATTGAATGTTTGGAAGTTCCCTGTTTATTTTCTCCCAGTTTATCCTTTTATTATTAAAATTGAATTTATTGAATAACCCTTCTCGCTTGTTTCTCTTGGGCCTACTACCATTATTGTTAGTTTGCACTACAATGAGTTTGTGGTCCGAGTACGTAGTGTCTGAGATCGTAATCTCTCTGATTAGCTCCTCATTGTTCGTGAATATCAGGTCCAGCGTGTTTTCGTTCCTAGTTGGTTCTGTAATCTGCTGACTGAGCGAGAATTTGTCACAGAATCTCAGTAGTTGTCTGACCTGTGGTTGGTTATTTCCAGGTTGATTTCCTGCTATAATGTTATTGTTTACTATTCTCCATTTTAAACTGGGTAGATGGAAGTCTTCAAGGAAGATAACATCTGGTACTGGGTTTGCAAGGTTATCAAGGACTCTGTTTTGTGGATCTGTTCAGTGGATTCCTCAACTGTTGCATCTGGCGGTTTGTATATTAAAATAATAAGTAGATTCACATTTTCTACCTTGATTCCAAGTACCTCTACCACCTCATTGGACGAGTTCAGGAGCTCTGTGCATGTCCATGGTGGTGACCGGTGTCCATGGTTATGGTGACCGTCCGTGATGGTGACCGTCCGTGATGGTGACGGTTCGTGATGGTGACAGTCCGTGATGGTGACGGTTCGTGATGATAACGGTTCGTGATGGTGACCATCAGTGATAATGACCGTCCGTGATGGTGACCGTCCATGATAGTGACAGTCCGTGATGGTGACCGTCCATGATAGTGACAGTCCGTGATGGTGACCGCCCATGATGGTGCGCAGAAGCAAGTGTGCGCTCCTGTGCGGTGCGCAGGAGGCCAGGCAGTGCGCCTACGAGAAGGGTGCACCTCACAACTTACCCCAAAAATTCCCGACAACTTTTAAGTAGCAGCTCGAAAGAAGTGAATTGATTCTCTAAACAAACGTAAAGCAGCTTTATAAACATCTTGTGTTTATAAAGTCTGAGAAAGCCAGGACTTTGTTGCGCTACCTGCTTCAACTTTAGCTGTTTATAAAGTCTGAGAAAGCCAGGACTTTGTTGCGCTACCTGCTTCAACTTTAGCTGTTTATAAAGTCTGAGAAAGCCAGGACTTTGTTGCGCTACCTGCTTCAACTTTAGCTGTTTATAAAGTCTGAGAAAGCCAGGACTTTGTTGCGCTACCTGCTTCAACTTTAGCAGCAGAGCTGTATACCTCAACCCGTCCTCGACTCAAGTCCATTCCATCCAGCGGTCGACCACACAGACGCATTCACAATTTTTTACATGCTGTTCATTCAAAACAGGAATTTTCTCAAATATAAATTAATATTATAATATATTAGTATATTGTGTATTTAAAGGCAAAGGTTAGGTTAGGTGTTTAGGTTCTGTTGGCGATTATTTGTATTTGTAGTACGTGGGTGAAGCATTTACAGCGTTGTGGTTCGAACACAAGTCGTCAGTGAAGCACTTGTTCCGGAAGTGTTCGAACGTCATCAGTTGTGAGTCGTGAGTAAACCGTTTTTTATTCATAAACAGCTGGGGTTGGCAGATGGATGGAATCACTTTTGGATCTTCGTTTGGAGGACGGGCTGGTATACCTGGAGCCAGATTCACGAAACAATTACGCAAGCACTTACGAACCTGGAGCCAGATTCACGAAGCAGTTACACAAACACTTACGAGCCTGTATATCTTTTCTCAATCTTTGGCGGTTTTGTTTCCAATTATTAAACAGTTAATGAGCTCCGAAGCACCAGGAGGCTGTTTATAACAATAACAACAGTTGATTGGCAAGTTTTCACGCTTGTAAACTGTTTAATAAATGTAACCAAAGGCGTCAAAGACTGAGGAAAGATGTACACGTTCGTAAGTGCTTGCGTAACTGCTTCGTGAATCTGGCTCCATGTTCGTAAGTGCTTGCGTAACTGCTTACTCACTTACCTAATTCTTCTCTACTTCTCGTTAAGAAGAATTAGGCAATTTATGCCAAAATATTTAGCAACGTAATCATTAAGTTAAATTTTTTAACCCGTTGTCTCTTGAATTTTGACGTATAAATCCGACTCAAGCCCAAAACTATTGGAATAAAATGATACCAATTCGCTAAACTGGCGTGATGACCCGTTTTCTATTCGTGGGTCTACGGTTAGGTTAAGTTCGGTCAATTTAGTGCATCTATTTAGTAACGTCGTGCGCGCTGGAGAGGACAGGCTAGATAAATAGGCTGATTTAAGTTACATTCCTTATAGTTTTTATAATAAATATTTGCATAAAATTCGCCAAATCACGACTCCGGTTGTGGGTATGTAAATCAGATAAAGTTCTCAAGGTGCAAATCATGAAAAAATTACATATTTCTAATGATTATTGAGGTGTCTTTTAGAATGCTGATGCTTGAAGCTCTAAGTGTAAAGCTATTCGAATTTTATGTACCGAAGATCTCAGGCGAGTGAGATCTCAACACGTAAGTGTATTGAGATCCATAAAACACCCCAAAAAGCAACCCACTCTCGCACAAGACAGCATATATAAGACTTA